AGCAGCGTATGCGTCAGTGCTTGAAGCTCATAGTACGGCTGCGCCACGTCTGGCGCTGGGAGGACGACGCGGCCGCCGATCGTATCAACTTGATACCCGAGCGATCGCAGCGCAAGGGCAAAGAGACCGTTCGTCTCGAAACAGTAGCCGCCTCGACGGTCACGGACGAGCTTTTGGAAAATCTTGTCCGAGGCGATCGAGACGACTTGGCCGGGAATCGAAGCATCGACGTGGTCGGGGTGGACGGGGAAGACGCGGGCAGGCGCGAGGTTCTCAAAAAGGGATCGCAATTGCGTGGGTCTCTTGGAGTAGCGTGAGCAGCTCCAGCGACCGCGGGGCGTGCGAGGTCAGAGCGTCGCGCGTGAGCCCGAGACGGGCCAAATATTCATTCATGTTGATCACATCGGCTGTGGACGTCATGTTGCTTAGTGTCATTGCTGTCTGTGGACCACGACACGTGAGACAGGCAGGCTGCGGCTCCGACGCTGCATCGACCAACGTCGAATACAAAAGAAGGTAGGTACATGCACTCCTGCAAATCAAGAACGGTTCGGGCTTCGAATCGAAAGCTCGCGAGCTGTCGGGAAGACATTTGGGCTACTGCTTCGCGATGTGATGAAAGGTGGTCCGCATCATGTGGGTCTTCTCTTCCAGTCACCTCTACAGCAGCGACCAAGCCTTCCCGCCTTTGTGGGTCGCATCATGCCTCAAGTCGAAAGGTCGTTCATCACCAAGAGAAGCTCCATAGAATAGTTAAAATATATATATCAACCTCCTATCTACAATTCAATTAGTGTATTATATTGTATGGTGCGTTGGACTCGAGTCTTGAGCGCTGCTGGGAAAGCGAATGCGCACCATTGGGGCTGCCACGTCATGGGGCAAAATATCCTGTCATATTCGATAGTGCATTTTCTGCAAAACCTCTGGCTTTTGATAGTGCGAGGTGGCTCCATGGACCAAATTGACCGAACGTGCCATGGCCAGGCGCGCGAGCTCTACACGCGGGTCATTCACGAGATCTGCGGCGAAGGCTTCGCGAACGACCTGCTCCCAGGCCGCGACGCTTCCTTCTACGTGGCGCTTCAGGAGGTACGACCCACCGCCAGCTCGCCCGCCGTCTCACGACGCATGACTAGGCATGGATGGCCAAGCTCGCCGAGCACATGGCTTTGCCAGCGCTACACGTCGATGAACCTGCGACAGCTCTTGACGAGCCTGGTGCAACAAACGCAGTTGAAGAAGAGGCAAAGGAAGCACCTGTGCAAGACGCCGAAGAAGCGTGCGCGCTCGAGCCGGTCGCTGCCACCACGGACGAGCCAATCGAAGCGCCTGCCGTGATCCCAAACGAGGCGCCGGCTGAAGCGGCTGCAGTGGTCCCAGACGAATCGCCCGCGGATGAGCCCATGGACGCATCGGCCAACGAGCCTTCACAGGCACCCGTCGACGCATCGCCCGAGCCACCTGTCGGGCAGCCTGTTGAGGGTCCCGAAGCGGCTCCAATGCAGGCAACGGCGTGCGACGTGTCGAGCGAATCCGACGACTCTGACGTACCGGCCTCACGCCCTCCATCGCCTGTAGTCCCGCATCGGTTGCCCATCATGCGGCCGCCTGTCAACCTCTTCAACATTGGTCGTCCTGCCGCGTACATGGTACACACATCGATCCTTGTCCAGCACGCATGCTCATATTCCAGTAGAGAAACCCGCTCGCAGACAAGCCGCCAGTGCCAATCATCCTGCCGACACCTCCACGCCGCAAGGAGAAAACTGTGAAAGAGGTACTAGAATGCGCTATCCCAGTACCCTTGACGACGACGCTTGCATGCATAGCCAGCAAAGAAGAGGCGTCGCGCGACCAAAATGCCGAAAGCGACGACAGAAGCAAGCGGTCCGAGTGCTGCACCCGAAACCACCGATCCCGACGTCGAGCCAGTGACGCCAGCCACCGACGCGACGCCAGCCACCGAGCGCCCATCTGATGCTCCATCCACTAGTGACTCTGCGCCGTCCGCTTCCGACACCACCCACGCGTTCGCGGCGTCCGGCGCGGAGTTGGTACCTCTGGCCCCCATCAACTTTGCATGCGGCACGTGGCTTGGGATTTACACGTCGATGGCCCAACGAGGCCGGCGTACAGAAGGCATCTACCAACTCGTGCTCAAGGCGACGCTCCTTCGACTATACGTGCAGGTGACACCGCGCTTGCTAGTCCAGCACGCGTATATTCGCGACGGCACCGATGTTGTCCGCGTCGTCGTCGAACGTCAGAGTGACGACAACCTCGTCATTCAACTGCCGACGGGGGCGACCGAAACACTTGCATATGGACGCGTGTGCATCGCGGTCGACTACTTTTCGCCGCGCGGCGAGGCCAAACTGCAATTGCCGCAATAATGAGCAACCTTCTACCGTCGTATAGCTTTCAACATGCATAGATCTCGTGCAAGGGACGAAAACCTTTGGTAATATCGTTCGAGATACAGGGCTAGTACCAGAGACGAAGGCTCGTAGAATCGAACCGTTGGTGACACGGCGCGTCCAGCACGCACGATGCTGATGACTCGAGCTGGCATCCCAAGCACGCACGAGATGTTCGTGACCTTCTCGAAGGCTCGCTTTCCATTACAAGAAGGTGTAATCGCGCATACCTCCGCGCAGGTGTCGATGGCTTCTGCGGTGTATCTCACACGTCATCGGTGTACGACTGAGCTCGCGAGCTCTAGAAGAAGTACGTTCTTCCGACCCTCCACCGACGCGGAACCCCACACAAGAGATCGCCGACGACAGAGATCTGTACTATAAGATTGAAGCTTATCTGTTCGGATGGTGCACGTGGACGGCATGACGCATTGCGCCGTGTAGCAGCAGTCACGAACGTTACGCAGGCGGTCAGCGTGCTTCAAGCGACGGTCAATCGCATCCAGTGTATCGGACTCTGTATGCCGAGTAGTACAGTGTACATGTTGTCTACTGCAAAGGTCCCTACACTACGGTATTTCTTTAGACGACGGTACCATAGTATTCGAGTGGTCGATGCGATGGACTGAATATGCGGCGAGTTGCTGCACAGTGCAGTCCGACCACCCGCAGGCGCCTACGTCGTTACCTTGCATGTACCCATCCATGGCTTCGTGCTCATAGCGTCGGCAACGGCACTTGACTGCGTTCGCCCAGCATAATCACGCACCGACACCTGTCCCATCGCTTGCCAAAACGTGCTGCTCCTATCACTACGATCCCTGGCTTTCCACCCAGTGCCTCATACACTGTATTTTCCTGTCGACAGGCCGCCGACGGTTTATTCGCTGCGGCGCCGACTCACGCAGCGGCCCAAGCCACTCTATTCATTCTCCATGGTTGGTTCTGGCTCTGGCTCGTGACGTCGGAGCCGTCGCAGGCGAGCATGTTGCGTTGTGCCGCCGTCTGATCCGCCGTCGTGTCACGGCGCGAGTAACGTGCGCCGATCGCATGCCAAATTGCTGAAATCACTGGCGCATGTCGCGGCCACTCGTGAATACTCAGAGACCCACCATGGTTGCCATGGTATTGACCGCGGCCGCGGCGTGCCCGTACACGCTGCCGGCAAACGCGACGCTCCTC